AAAACTAATAATTTAGATACTAAACGTATACTTTACCCAAAAAATTATTATACGAAAATGGCCAAGTGGCAATGGTGAAAATGGAAAATAAATATAAAAACTCTAAAAAGTAGTTTGTTTAATATAGAAACAAGAATAAATGATACTTTTTTAAATTAATAACTGGTATTTGATATATTGACCGACAAATCTATATCGAGTACTGCATAGGCAAGGATTACCCTTCCAACCCAATTTTCTCCATTGGCAAACGTCAAGGTTCAAACCATAACATTGCTTAGGGAATCTAGTACCTCATCTCAGTAGATTAACTAGTTGTGGGTACAACAAAGGATATTTTGATGAAGAAGATGGATTAATAATTATTTTTATATAATCTTTTAAATCTTAAATTAAAAAGAAAATTGTGTATTTTTTTTGGATTAAAATGGTGTATTTAAATATACTTGAATATAAAACTTTTTAAGTTTTTATTCATAATGATATAAATTGAATTAATATCTAATCAACATAAACACAATATTTTTAGATATAAAATAAGTATATAATATGAAAACTTATACAAGATATAAAAAGGTTTATCCAAACCCAATGAAAATATATGCATATATAAGTATATAACTAGTCATTAAATTATATTTAATATTTTTAATCTAAAATTATTGAAAATTTTCTATATATATATTTTAAAAAGTAATTATAATTATTGAGAAAAGTAAACATTTTTTATTAATAACGAATAAAATAACTTTATATTTTCCCACCATATTTGTTAATTTTATAGAATTAATATTTGGAGAGAATGGAGAAATGAAAGCATAGGAGGCTGAGACGAAGGTTTTAATTAGGGTTGTAAACGAGTAGACTCAAGTTCAATTTCTAATTAGATCGGTAAATGAGTCGAATCAAGTTCAATATTTCTAATTAGATTTGTAAACAAGTTGAGTAAAGTTTAGATATTGTTGAGTTTATTTTTAATTTAAAAGTTTAAAATTAAGTTTGACCTAACTTCAAAGTTCAGGAGCATATAATTATCAAGTTTAACTCGAACTTGAAATAAAAATTTAAATCTCGAATCAATTTGAAAGCTCGTTGTTTAAAATTTTCAATCTAGACTCGAGATTAAAAAAAATTGAACTCAAAACATTCTCGAACTTATATTGATTGATGCTTAAACTAAAACTTGAACCTTAACCTTAAGTACATGCAGAGCTCTAATGGGAACACCCTGAGCAACCACTCAGGCTCCCAATTTAGGGCTCCCAATTTTTTTATTTATAATTAGGGCCCTCAAATTTTAAAATTTATAATTAAGATCCCTAATTACTATAATTTCATAAAAATTTTAGTTTTTGATGCTCTTTTTTCATTTATCTTATTAATTCATTCAATTTTGAATTAAATTTAACAAATTTTTTATATTTATAAATAGGATCCATATTTTTTTTTATAATTTCATAAAATATTTAGTTTTGACCCTCTTTTTCCATTTTTCTTGTTTACTTATTCAATTTTGAATTAAATTTAATCATATTTTCTCTTTCTTTCTTTTTCAAATCTTACTCTTTAGTTTATCAAATATTCTTTAATTTTTAGTCTTCTTCATTCTCAATCTAACAATAAAATAATATATAATTCTTTTTATTTATTATTTAAAACCAAGCTATGTATCATACATGCATTCAATTTTTTTATATTTATTCTATTTTAGTTGTATTTAAGGTGTCTTCTTAATAAAATAATATATTTTCAAAAAAATCATTTTTCTATGATTTATTTATGTAATATTGAATTAACTGTTCAAAGTAATGAAATATACTTTCATTTTCGCTCAGAGCCCCAAAAATGTATGAGACAACTCTGAGTACATGAAAGAGTTAGACACTTTTGGGTCTTCTATGTGACTAAGTAAGCCTTACCCAAGCCTAGTGAGCATGCAAACTCACCAAGGTTGGAACCAAGCCCTCAAGGCTTCTAGGAAGCAGAAACAAAAGCTTTAACACCAATGTGGCTACTCCAACCCACCAAGTTTGGACTATGGTGTGGAAGTGCAAACACAAGTGTGGCTACTCCAACCCACCAAGAGAGGCAACAAGCACCAAGAGAATAAAGAACAATGAACAAAATAACTAGAGTAAATGTCTCAAAGCTTTATTACTCTCTCATAGAATGAATGAAATGAGATGTTACAAATGAGGAGGAGAGACTCTCTATTTATAGTTGAGCTCCCTCTCAATCAATGACCTAAATCGATTAGGAAACTCAACCCAATCCTATCTAATTACATCCATTAGTAGGATTCTTTCCTTGGATAGGTGTTCACATTGGATATGGAAAGATTCCCCCACAATATCTTCTTGATTTGTTGTCTCTTAACATATTTATCAAGCTCATGTGATCAGATATGATGCCATTTTCCTTTTCTACACGGCCAATGTGAATAGGCTCCACAACATTCTCCAAGTGATGTGCCAAGTTTGGTGGCATTGGCAAGCCCACATTCTACATAGAACCTCTTTAGCAGACATTTGCACTAATGTCCCAAACTCAAGTATCACAACTCGTGACATTATTATATTTTAAATATTAATATCATTAATAATTTTTTTTTTGTAGTTACTCACGAAATTTTTTATTTCAAGTACCTCATTTCAACTCGTTAAAAATTTAAGTTAAATTTAAATATTAATTAAATTTTAACCAGATCAAACTTAAATAAATTACTATCTCATCTCATTTATGGGAGGACCTAACCCATCATCATTGAGCCGAAAAAAGAGAGAGAGAAAAAGCCCATAATTCATTATTATCCCTCTCTAAGTAAACAATTGTAACGTAAATTCTCATAATAATAATAATAACAACAACTAACACTTCCACTCTGTAAAAACTAAAAAACTCGAAGTTCCAGTTCTCCATCGTCATCTAAATCACGCCATCTCTCCCATAATCTCCCTCCCCTCCTTAACCTTTAAGCCCATATTTAAAATGAGAAACAAAATAGATCAGAGTTGCTGATCAATTAAAGAGATCGGGTATAAAATGAATGATTGTTATTTTTAAAGGTTTTAAGTTCGAGCATTAACGATATAGAATATTTAAATATTCATTATTAAATGATTGAATATCTTTAGAACATATACTACCATTCTAATACCTCTGTGTTAATAAAAAAACCAATGCATCATCCTTGTAAAATTCGATTCAGCTCCATCATCTTTTTATATTAATTATATTTTACGAAAACTATAATTCAAACAGATTTTTAAAAAAATAATTATAATAATTCATTAAATCTTTCCCCCAAAATGGCCGCCTTAAATGGTTAAACATGCATGATTGTTGTGTATTCATGGCTCTCTATATATTTACTTATCTTTTCTTCCCTTTCGTCCCTCAAACCCTTCTCCTTTTTCTGTTTCACGGCTGTAGTTTAGAAACCCAGATTTGAGCTTCATTTGCAAAAGCTGTTAAGCCAACCTCCTTGAAACAGGTGATCTTTCTTAATTTGTTTTTTGTAATCTGGTTCTAACCAGACATCCTACGTATGAATGTTTTGTGTAATTTTTTGGTTGCCAATGTAGCAGTTGATCGTTCCATGGAAAGGCTGAACTCAAACCTGTATCTTCAAAACTGCTATATAATGAAAGAAAATGAGAAGCTGAGGAAGAAAGCAGAGATGCTGAAGCAGGAGAATGAAGCTCTGTTATCTGAGCTCAATAACCCAAAGGGATTCGATTCAGCAAATATTATTCATGAATTCAGCTTCAGCTCCACTACTAACCCAACAAATCCTTCCACTAGTACCATTCTCCTTAACCATTAGAATTCAGCTTGGTCAATTTGGATGAAATTCATTTAAGTTGTAAGTACGGATGGCAATGGATCTTGGATCCGACCCAAATTCATAGATCCAGATCCGTTTTATAGGATCCGGATCCTAAAATTTTAGACCCGACAGATCCAGACAGAATCTGGATCCACTTATTAAGTACGGATTCAGGTCTATATCTGACACTAAGATACTAGGTCTAGACCCCTTTACCTGTTTATAAAAAAACCCACCTTTAATTTTAAATTAATATTTAAATTTCACAAATATAATATTACATAACCTTAATATTAATATTATATATATAAATTTCATAAATTATTATGTTAAATAACCTTAATATTAACAGTTAAATTTCACAAATATTATTTTTATTAAATAAAATTTTTTTTGGTTGGTTGTTTGTTTTAGGATGTTGATGATTTTAGTAGTGATGAAGATTAGTATTCTAAGGAGGTAGAAGTGCGATACTTGCTTTGAGACAATGAAATGTTTCATGATATATATTTTTTAATGTTTGTGTTATTCAAAAGACATTTTGTGTAATTGTGTTGGAGTTTTTTTAGACTTTAGTTTATTATTATTTATTTTGCTACTAGTTGTATTGAAATTAATCTTTCTTTCATTGGAAATGTGAGGTGAAATTAATCAATGACAGTTTTATTATGTTTTATACCCATTTTAAATCTGAATCTGCGAGATCTGTTGAATATAGATTTGGGTTCCAATTTTCAAGACCCATAGATCCACGGCGGGTGTGGATCCAATATGTGAAAGTGAGTTTGGATTCAGGTCTAACTAGATCCGGTCCATATCCAACCCGTTGCCATCTGAACTGTTGAAGTGAGTTCAATTATTTAGGGGTTTGAAACTATCTTTGTAATACAATATCTGATTTAATTGAGTTACTAAGTGAGCATATCTGATTTAATTGAGTTACTAAGTGAGCATAATTAAATAATTAATTAGAGGTGTGACAGTAGGGATGAAATTTGAAGGAAAAAAAGGTACAAATGTACAATAATGTAATTTTATTGGTGCATAACAAGTCATCCTGTCCATCTCCCGCGGCTTAACACTCGAACTATTGTGTATACATTAGCAAACAATCCTGCCGAATAGTCAAAATTACCATTCTATTCATTAAGAAGCAAAGAACCGAAAGAATCGATATTATAAGAAAAAAAACATTGCCTTGATCCCCAAAAAGAAGAATCGCAATAAAGAAAAATGGCCAAACAATTCAATGTGCCGCCGGTGGTTTTCCCGTCCGGCGGTGGAGTCAATCCAACCGTCGGAAACGTCAACCAACGCCGAGTCCCAACGGCTCCTTTCCAGCCCTCCCGTCCTCCATCGTCCTCCATACCATTCATGGCTTTCGATATAGGGTCAGTTCCGCTATCATCCGGACCCGTCGGCGGCACGATCTCCACTTCAGCAGCATCCAGTTCCGGTTCTTTCGACGACGAAGAACCCCTCCTCGACGAACTGGGCATCCACCCGGAACAAATCTGGCACAAAACGAGATCCATCCTCAATCCCTTTCGAGTCAATCCGACGGCCCATAAAGACTCGGATCTTTCCGGCCCGATCTTCCTCTACTTGTGTTTCTGCTTATTCCAGCTCCTCGGAGGCAAGATCCAGTTCGGGATAATTCTCGGCTGGATCGTCGTCTCCTCGATTTTCCTCTACATCGTTTTCAACATGTTAGCGGGTCGCAATTACGGCAACCTAGATCTGCACACGTGTACGAGCGTGGTCGGTTATTGTCTGCTACCGGTGGTGATCTTTTCGGCGGCGTCGCTTTTTATCCCGCAAGGGAGCAGCGTCCCTAGGTTTGCACTGGCTGGGGTTTTCGTCCTTTGGGCCACTAGGGCTTGCACCAATTTAATGGTGGCGCTTTCCGATGGAGGTGAAGAACACCGTGGGCTTATCGCGTACGCTTGTTTCTTGATCTACGCTTTATTTTCCCTTCTTGTAATATTTTAACTGAAACTGATTTTCCTTCCCTCCTGTAGAGTTAGGGTTTTCGTGGATTATATGAATAATTGAAGACAATGGGATTACTTTTTGGAATTTTATGTGTAAAATGCTACAGAATGGCACTCTTTCGTTTTTGAATATGAAGAACATTAACTTATTTGGGTGAAGTGAAATAAGCTTTTACCTTTGCATGAAAATTTCATTTAATTCATGATAAAATCATTCCTACATTCATTTCCCTTTAGATTCATAGGGGTAAAAATCTTTGCAATGATTGATTTTTTCTACTTATTTTTTACCAGTTCATCCAGATTTAGCTTAATTTTAGTTTTGGAGAGGCTTTGATGTGCATGTAGTAAAAGCTTTCACATGATTCTGGTTATGGCAATCTTGAAATTTTCATTTGGTTTTTGAGCTTTGGGGATCCAACTTTGTGTTGGTGTTTGAATAGTGGGAGCAGCATCAGTTGATTTGGTTTCTCTATTATCATCATAAAGCTTGTTGAATTCATCAAATTATCCTTATCCAAACCATAACCAAACAAGTTTATCTATCTATTTTGGTCCAACTTTTTTTTCTTTTCAGTTTAATTGAATTAAATCATTTAATATAATTAAAATGATTCAAAATGTATCTGTAATAGGGGGTTCAAAGTTCGGTTTTAACCTGTTTTCTTTGCATAATCAGTTGGTTAATTTTTGGTTCGGTCGGTTAACCGTTAAGGATTTTTTCAAACGTCAGTTATTGGTTATTAACTAATCGAATTAATCGAAAAAATTTCTTAGGAGTGTTTAGACTTTGAAATTAACCAAATTAACAAAAAATATTTAATATTTGATATATATTATTTATTAATTTCGGTTAATTTGGTTAACCGACCGATTAAGCGAATTTTGTTTGATTTAATTAAAATATTTTGAATTTGTTAACTTGTTAAAAAAGTGGTTTATGATTATTAGGTAATTTGGTTCGATCAGTTAATCGAACCGATTGATTGAACACTCCTTATATGTAAGTTGAAAATTGTTTAGTTTTAAACATATCAGGATTTTTTTATAGAATGCACAACTTATGAAGTTGTTTTACCTTTTGGCCTGCAAATATATTTTTGTGCTTCTGATTTCTTTTAATACAAGAATTAGATTATCTAAATCCTATTTCATATATGTATCTAGTCGCACTTGAATTTTATCTCTTTAGATATCATAATAATATTCATATCCTGAATTCAAATTTACAGTCATAATATTATTTGTGCAATCCCAGTGAATATAATTAATAACTGATGATATATATCTAATTAAAATTTGCGGGGTTCTGTCCGACTTGACACCATGTCAGAAGGCGCGGATCATGAAGCGCCTTCCATTACCTTGAATTATTGCACACTCCATTATTACCCGAGCATTAAATGTTGGCTATTCACTCATCCCATTTCCTATAAATACCCTTGAATGCAAACATCAAACCACACCAAAATTACTTTCACATTCTTTCTTCTATCAATTCCTTCTATCACTCTATGTAAATTTTGTTATAATTTTTATAAAGTAAAATTATTTTTATTATAATATATTTATTTTATATTTAATTATTTGACCAAATTTTATTGTACTAATTATTTTCTATTATTTTTGTGGTTGTAAAATGGAAGGCGAGATCATATCTTAGACATTTTGTCGATACGGTAACAATATTAAATTATGTTATTTAAAATATTGTGAATTTTATTTTTTTAGCATTAGTTTATATTTTAATGCGTGTGCTATTTATTTAATTATGTGTATTTTAGCTATTGTTTTTGCATATATAAGACTCTCAATCTTTCAAACTCTCAAACTCTCAAAATGAGGCTTATTTTAGCTATTGTTTACTATGATGGAGAAATTTGAGAAGATGAAACCGGTATTGTTTTCGCATCAATTCATTATGTCAGAATATACTTCAAGAAAAACATTACTCTTTAAGAGCTGATCACTAAAATTTCAAGGAATGTTCATGTTGGAAATACTAGAAGATTGTCTTCACTTCAATACAAATTTCTAATTGCATTATTTTCGTTAACTTATACAGGGTTTGAACTCTCCAACGATGATGATGTTCCTATGATAGTTGATGCTCAGAATCAAAATTCAGACGCTGATACACAAATGTAAGCTTCTTCGACCTCAATGTGGAGGATGCATGTGACACAACATTTAGTTCAAAACCGACATGACACGATGCCTTCAAGTTCAAGGGGAAGACAGTCAATTACCAGCTTGTTCGACCTAAATATCGTCATCACAAAGAAACTCTCATCTCCACCAGAAGAACCTCTTCGTGAGCCAGGTGCGGATGGTACTGAGATTGGACTATTCGTTGAGCCAGAATCATCACAGTTCAACATGGACTCCGATGATGATGATGTAGATGAAGTTCCCACAAATACGGTACACACAGAACCACTAGGACACATGTATGAAGCTAACTATGGTGCAATGTACGGGCCAGAATTTACGGATATACTTAATGTTGGTGACTACGGATTTAACTCATCAGTCAATGATGGTGAGTTATATATCAGAATAGAGTTTTCATTCAAAGAAGAAACTATGATTGCAATTAAGAGTTACAACATTTGTAATTCTGTTCACTCTAGAGTTGACTAATCCACCACCGAAAAATATGTCTGCTGCTATGTCCAACGTGATAACGGATGCAAATGGATGGTTCGTGTATCGTAGAGGAAGAGGAAAAACAACATATGGGAACTAACAATATACAAAGGTCCTCATACATACTGTGTGTAGACACCCGTTTTTTGATCGGGCTTAAAAAAATATTATTATTATTATTATTATTATTAATTATATTACATATATTTTGCAGGCCCAACTAGTGACCCAATTGTCCTATCCCAATTAAATCAATTCAAGACAAGCCCAGACCCAATTGAAGCTGAAACGACCCGAAATCCAGATCCAATCGACTCGACCCGGCTCACCTACCCTAAGCAACTTGCTGCCCCATAGCACCATCCCTGGTTCTCTGCCTCTGCCAACTCACAGAGAATAAAGGTGCATGTGAGATTATATCTAAAACATCATCACATAGCAAGTGGATATTATTTTATGTTAAAGCTATGTAAAGAAAGGGCTATAAAAGTCGAAATAAAATGTAATAACAAGAGGGGGATTTTGATGTTTTTCGGGGAACAATGTAAGGGGATTTTTCTATCAATAAGAATAACTGAATTTTATCAAGAATCGCAACAAATGTTTTCAGCAATCAAAACGGAACCGAGAATCCTAAGGTATTCTAATTTTATTTAGTTTATTTGTTCAATTCTTGTAATGTAACGAAGAAAATAGAATTAGTTTATGATTTTCATTCTTCGTTTTTTTATATATGAATTTTATGGTTTAAAACAAAATAATAAAAGATCAGGAGTGTTTACCTTGCTGCCGTTGGATGCATCGGGGTAGTAGTGTCGTCGGGGAGGGGTCGAGTGACCGGTGATGATTTGGGTCGAAGGGAAACCGTGTATGGTGGTCGGTCTTTGGCTTGGTTCTCGCTTGAAGAGAGACAGGCTGTGGGGTTGAGATGTTTTGATTTCGTGTTGTTTCCCACGCTTTGTAGATCATCGATCAAATGAGAATGGCCACCCATATAGGGTGGCTGAGGCATAGCCTGTGGCGGCTCGTTAAAGGGTCGGCTACCATGGCCACCGCATGCGTGAAGATGGACGAGAGGCTAGGGGTTTGGTTAGTTTTCGGGTTACTGGAAATGATAAGGGAAAGAAAGTGTTTTTATTTTATATTTTGGGATAACCACGCGTTAGGTCCCCGATTTTTTAGAACTTTCTGTTTTGTTCACCTATCTTAATGGGTAAATCACGCATAAGGTCCTCTTTTTAGCGTGTTTTATGCTTTGGTCACTATCAGGGTGAAATCACCTTTAAGCTCCCTTATTTTAGTGTCTTTTGTACTCTGGTCATATACTTTGTTATGTGTTTTGAATATTCATATTGATTTTAATAATTTTCGAATTTAGTCACTGTTTATTTCGTATTTAGCTACTATCTATTGTTTCTAGCATTTTAGTCAACATAATTAGATTTTATTATAATTTGGGTCCATGTATTTATTTTAATTGATTGTTGAGGCTCTGATTTGTTCATATTTATTTATTAGGTCCTTCTAGTTTCTGTTAATACTATTTTATTTCTTTAAATTTCTATTTGTTCTATTTTGGTACTTTAAATTTATGTTTTTTGCTATTTAATCCCTTAAGTTTTTGTTTTTCTCTTGTAGCTCATTCCTAGAATTAATTTGATCCATGAATTTTAATTCTTTCCAATTTATTTTTTTAATTTGAATTTTCTTTCATTCCTTTTATTTACTTACTTTTTTTATTTCGATCTTAATATTAACTCTTTGTTTTTGTTTGCTTTATTTTTTAACTTTATTTATGATCTTTTTTGGGATAATTTTAATTGATCAAACGGTAAATAATTATGATCAAATTTTTAATTTAAATTTAAATTTTCAAAATTAAGACAACCGATAAATTAAATGGTACCGAAATGGCAGTTGAAGGGTGTTATTCATTCCTTGACTGTAACCGACTCTCGAGCCCGACATATTTATGGTAAAACGCAAATCAAGTAAGATGGTATTCGATCTACCTAAATATTTTTCAAATGATCGGTGGCGACTCTAAAATTTTATTTAAGCATAAGCTAAATTCCAAACCCACCTGAAAGACGGCTGCGACAGCTTGGCGACTCCACTGGGGACAGGTAAGTGAGTCAGGCCAGAATTAATTTTGGTTGTCTTTTTGAGCGAAAATTATAAGTTTATATTCTAATTTATTTATTCGATTCTAATTATTTATCTTTGATTATTTTTCAAATAAATAGTTGTACTGATGTTTTCTTTCAATGATTTCAGATTTTTGAAAAATTTTCATCTCTGGCTCTATACCCGAGCTCCAAACCTTTTAAAGTGGGGGCGAAAGCAACGCCTTCGTGAGAATTTATTCTTCGCACATGCCTAGCAAGTAACCTTCAGGATTCATATACCTTATGTCTTCGTGTGAATTTATTCACTGCACAGACATAAGGGAATGTATCCTCTCGAGTTTAACTTAGTCCACACAAGCTTGTAATGGGCTTAGGACTAAGGGTCTG